GTGTGAGAGAAGGGGAGAGAGGCTGAGTGTGCATGCTCGTGTGAAAAGGAAGTGAGGCTGAGTGTGTATGCTGGTGGAAGAGAAGGGGAGGGAGGCTGTGTGAGTGTACATGCTGGTGTGAGAGAAGAGGAAGGAGGCTGTGTGAGTGTGTATGCTGGTGTAAGAGAAGAGGAGGGAGGCTGAGCGTGCATGCTGGGTGAGAGAAGGGGAGGGAGACTGAGTGTGCATGCTGGTGTAAGAGAAGAGGAAGGAAGCTGAGAGTGTATGCTGAGTCAGAGAAGGGGAGGAAGGCTGTGAGTGTGCACACTGGTGTGAGAGAAGTAGTGTGACAGGAACATAGCCTATACCAACAAGACAGAGGAACTCAGGGGAACCAGGATAGGCAGTGGAAAGCGGAGCAGTGTGGGACAGTGCAGGGCAGTGCGGGGCAGTGCGGGGCAGTGCGGGGTAGTGCGGGGCAGTGTGCTGTAGACTCTCTGAGAACCAAGGCAGAAGGCTCAGTGGGTTCAGCCTCCTCCAGGGGCAACAAAGCCTATCATCTTGTTTCCTTTGCTGTGGTTCCAATCAGCACACCAGAGCTTTCCCTCCAGGGCTGCTGACCATTAACAACCGCAACTGCAAAGCAGAAGACATTGGGGGCGGGGGAGGCTCTGTCTGATTTTCTTGAGGGACTCCATGGGCAGCATGCGTCCCCAGAGCCAGTTGCTTAGGATTGAGGCTTAAACCAACTGACCCCCCCCCCCCCCGCCCTTTCCCATAGCTTGCTCAGGAGGTGTTGAGAATCCAAGTGGCCAAATCCAAGGACAGGAATCCAGGGCAGTCTACCCAGGCCCAGGGTCTTAGCCATTCTAATTCCCAGAAGATGCTGTGTCCCACCAGCTAGGAGGAGGTCCTCTTACATCCTTCCCATCTCTACTGTACAACGGCATGTCCATCCAGCAGCCTCCCCCATCACAGAACTTCCTCTCCCACCCCTAACCCCTAGGCAGCTAGGTCTGCATTTCACCCTATTTTAAGACCTGTGGGAAGCCATGCTCCCAATTCTTTCTTAGGAAACCCTAACTGCTGGCTGAACCTCATCTGTCCTGCTCCTTCCTCTGTCCGCTCCCAACACCCTAGGCCCTCTGTTTACACAATCAAGGCCCACTTTCAACAGTTTAGCAGCCAAATAAATGATTCAAGCTCCCATTTCTGAAGGGACAGAGACATGGAAGCCCTTCTTCCATTAAGGGTGTTAGTTCGCCAAGAACCACAAGCCATAATAATGTGCCGTGCACATAATGACTACTGAGTGTCTCCCATGAGGACAGCTGGAGCAAAGAAATGAAACACAGACCAGTCTCAAGGTGGCCAGGCCAACTTGTATCTTGAACACTGGTGACAGAGGAAGACTCAGTGTGGCACAGGTGTCTCACGGCCACCAGGTCCTCATCACTGAAGCCCAATAACTCAATAAATATGAAAAAAAGAAGAAAAAAGAAAACAAAAACTAGTTTTTGATCGATAGCAACTGAAGTAATGGAAGAAGTAGTAAGGCTTTGGATAGAGAAAGTGGGAGCCGTGGTGAGGGAGGAAGGGACTCCACAGAAAGCAAAGACCACAGGCGGGTAAGAGCTGTCCTGGGGAAGAGAACCTATGACAGCTGCAGGCAGGCGAGGCAGAAGCCGCATGGGCGGAAGGCAAGTGTGGCTTCTATTTTCTCACTCAGGCTGTGCTGGGAAAGAAGGATTTTATGCGGGCAGTGCAGAAATAGAAATTCTGGTAAGGAGGCTCTCTGCGAACGCCCCCCAGCGATGGAACGGGACTGGCAAAGAACCTGAGGATCGGGAAGCTGGAAGCAGAGTCGACAGGACCCGTGAACTGAGAGTATGGGAGCAGGAGGCAAGCTCTCGAGAAATGGCATCCTCTCCATTCCTTCCAGTCATGGAAAAGTCTGGAGAGGAGGACAGGGGGTGGTGCTTCCTAGTAGACCCACAGACATCCTCACAGGATCTGGGGACGGCAGGCAGAGACACTGTCTAGAGTTCAGGAGCGGCATTAACTTCACGACTTTGTTGTGAAAATTAACAAGAACACACAGGGGAAGTGGAGTAGAGAGCCAAAGGCCGCCCGGAGCCAGAACCTTGGTGAGGAAGAGAGAGTCCATTTTGCTTGCAACCCCCTACTTGGCCTCATCTGGGATACAGGGACCAGAAGTAACGGAGAAGAAAGATTCAGCAAGAGGAGGCAGCCGCCTCCAGAGCTGCCACAAGGAAATGAGGACATAAAGGGACTGTCGGGTCCTAACGGTGAATTTGTCACTTCAAGACATGCTTCCTGGGTGAAGATAAGGCAGCTCCTGAAGATGCTGTTCAAAGATTGGTCCATGGAGAAGCCAGGTTGGGGGGTGTACTCGCTGGAGCAGGGTGTGGCTTCATGGAGGAGCAGTTGGAAAAGTGATGCAGGCATGTGGTAATGGGAGCTTCCCCAGGAGAGAGAGGGAGTGAGAGAGAGAGAGGAGAGAGAAGAAAGGAGAGAGGAGAGAGAGAGGAAAGAGAGGAGAGAGAGAGAGAGAGAGAGAGAGAGAGAGAGAGAGAGAGAGAGGGAGAGAGAGAAAAAAGAGAAAGGGGGAGAGAAAGGAGAGAGAGAGGAGGAGGAGGGAAAGAGAGAGGAGAGAGGGAGGTGGTATGGAAAATGAAGAAGGTAGGAAGACATTAGGAGGTGAGGATGGGGTTGAGCACTCTGGACAACCAGGTCTTTGACAGAAAGGGCAGGAAGAAACATTGGATGCACAGCTGTCAATACTGAAGGGAGAACTGAAGAAAAGCACCTAACTCCATCTTCGGTATCTCTCTGGCATTCCACCCCACCCCCCCACCCCTGCTCTCAGTTCCGGCCATCACCCTGAGGGGGCCTTGTGTTAAGTCATATTCCCTGTGATGTTCTTCTCCACTAGAAAGGCTGACTCAGTTTGTAACCATATTCACCTGGTCCTTTCCCTTCCCCACAATTCTTGCCCCAATACCCCACACCCACTGTGAGACCTGGAAGCTCAGACACAGCCTAAGGGGTACCTGTTGGCTTCAGGGACTGGAAAATGCAAGCGCATCATTTACTCCAGTCCCCAAGTGAGTGGAAGGCGTGGCCTTTGAACTAACACATGTCCACACTGTTGCCTGTGGGTGGGGCTTTCTCCTAAAGCATAGGAAAATCACCTAAGCTTCAGAGGTAGACACGAGATTCATGGAAGTTCCCAACATGATAAGAGTGCATCTTCAGAACATCAGACAACCAAGGGGAATTATACCCTTGTGGCTGCCTGCTCAAGAAGTCCAGCTTACTCAAAGCACCAGGCAGGAGGAAGAGGATGTCTTCCTACTTCCGGGAGCAGCGTCTCCCCAGCTGAGCATCGAAGCTCACAGACAACCCGCACAAAGCAAGGTCCCCTCGTCCCTTAGGACAGTCTCTGTACTGTGCAGTTGAGCCCTATTGCCTTGCGTCCTTGCTCAGGATCTACTGTGTCACCGCCTGCCTGGGAAACCCTTGAATTTCACTGTCTCTTACTCATGGGGTCCAGCTTATTCGACCTGTCACACTCTTACTCATGGGGTCCAGCTTATTCAACCTGTCACATGGACATGGCGGTGACAGGATTTCTCTTACAATTTGGGCTGTAGGGGATTATTTTTGTTATTACTTGGAGGCAGGACCTCACTCTATAGCCCAGGCCATCCCGGAACTCACTGATTATAACCCAGGATGGCCCTGAACCCACAGTGATCCTCCTGCCTCAGCCTCTCTGGTGCTGAGATTACAGGTCTAACTCATCATACCCGGCTTGGTCTTGTTTGATACCCTGGTGGCATAAACAGCCAGGGAAATGGCTCAGCTAAGCCCTTCTGCCAGGTCTCTAAAGGACTGCCCTCATTGTGACAGTTATCCTGACAGCAGTCATGGAGTCCACACTTGAACCTGTCAGACTACCCAAGGTGCCCATCTGACTTGCAGTTGTTCAACACAGGTGGGTTCAGGCTTACTGAGCACACGCAGGGGCACCGTTGACCTCGATGAGCCAGACCTTCAGCTCCTCGTCCACCATGAAGTCGAAGCCGAAGAGCTGGAAGCTCTGGTAAGGGAGGTGCCTGGTGCTGATGGCCGGCTCCACACTCATGAGGCAGCTCCTGTGAAGTAAAAGAGGAGAGCTCGCTGGGAACGGAGTGGTAGGGGCAGACGGAACACAGCGACTATGCCTGGAAGATCTTACACCAAGCGTGCATAAAAATCGCTTTCGCCTTACTTATTGTTTTTCAATGGATAAATTCTCCTGATTATTTAAGAGAAGGCTATCAATTAAACAACTTGTTAGGGATGCATGCACTGCTCCTGTTCTTCTAGGTCAAAACTGCCCGCTCAGGCCCTACTCTGGGCAGCTCGGCACCAAGCCACCGTGCATCTCCATCAGCAGTGCTGATGTCACTAGCTGTGGCCGTGGCTGTTTACGTATCACGGGTGGCCAGTGAGCCCCAGACAGCCGCCTGTTTGTGCGCCCGCACCCGTGCTGGAGTTTCAAGCCTGGGGACGGAACTCGGGCTCCTCAGTCTCGCCCAGCAATGGCTTCACCAACTGAGCCGTCTCCCCAGACCACACCCTGTATTTCGCCACGTGGAAAGTGCACTGGCATTGGTTGGGAAATGCCAGCTAAAACAGGAGCTGCAGAAAGAAAGCTGGGCAGCATTGGTTTCTCTTGTGAGCTCCAGATCTACTGCCAACTACTGTTAATGAAATACCTAAACAAGTATTCAAACTCAATATTGAAATCTAATATATTCAATATAAATATTGAAATCACAGAATTCTTATTAGCTCTGACTACCATTTTTTAAAATTAGATTGTTTTGTTTTTATTTTTGTTTTTTCTTTTTCGAGATAGGGTTTCTCTACAGCTTTGGAACCTGTCCTGGAACTAGCTCTCCAGGCTGGTCTCTAACTCACAGAGATCCTCCTGCCTCTGCCTCCCAAATGCTGGGATTAAAGGCGTGCGCCACCACCGCCCGGCTTTAAATTAGATTTCAATAACAGGAAGAAGTTGAAATTGAATCTTACAAATATGCTGAGTAAATAGAGGATGTTTGTCCTTGTGATTGTACACTTTACTAAGGTGACTCTTCTTAATTAAAATATATTTAAAATACTAAAAATAAGAAAAAGTCAGAAGTTTGACGAAACAGGACAACGACAGAAAGGGATAAAAAAGCAAGCACTGCGATCCGATCTGACACACTAAACCAAACTGCTGGGAGGTTAGGAGGAATAATCCTCAGCAAAGGGTTTCTTCGTCACTAGATGCTGCAGGCAGCGCACCTTTTTTTTAGCTGGAGTGGGAGTCAACAGGAGGCTGGCTGGGGAAAGCTGAGAGCCCTGAGCAACACTCAGGAATGGCACCCTTGCACTGCAGGGAACGACCAGCAGGGGGCGGGGAAGCACCCAGTAAACAGTGCCTGAAGTCCGGATTCCTTCTGCATATTTAATTTTCTCAGAGTAGAACCATCTCCAACCTATGACTACCAGAGAACCTAACAAGTAATAATTCTAGACAAAGTATAGGTCTACATCATGAAAAACAACAAAATGAAAAGTGAACAAAAATAAAATAGAAGTAATAAAACCCAGATGTCTGTCAGCTGCTTGAATTCTGCAACAGTCCCACAGTGGAATAAGTACAGCTGTGTAGATCAGTACAGCGACATGATGTCGGCAAGAGCTGAGCTCAAAGCAGGAGCCACAGTGCAATCCCAGCGACACCGTTTAAGACAAGCAAACAGAATACTGCGGTGAGGAAGAAGGAAAGGGAAGGCTACCTTGGCCAAGGACTCTGATTTTAAGGGCAGTAAAAGGAGTCTCTGGGGATGCTGAATTTCTTTCTTTCCTTTTATTTGTTTATTTATTTTTGAGGCAGGGTCTCATTACATAGCCCAGATTAGCCTGGAGTACCCAGTCCTGTTGCTTCAGTCTACCAGGTACCAGAATCAAAGTGTGCCTACTGTAAATATCTTATATCATGATCTGGACGATCACGGTTAGTGAGTATGTGCATAACTTAAAAAACTCATTGATCGCTGGGCGGTGGTGGTGCACGCCTTTAACTCCAGTACTCGGGAGGCAAAGGCAGGTGGATCTCCGTGAGTTTGAGACCAGCCTGGTCTACAAGAGCTAGTTCCAGGACAGGCTCCAAAGCTACAGAGAAACTCTGTCTCGAAAAACCAAACCAAACCAAATCAAAACAAAAAAACTTCTAGGTAGACTAAGAAATCAATCAAGAGGAAAAAAGACAACAGAAATAAGTCAGAGGCAGTAAATACAGATACAAAGTGTACTACTAAATACAAGGTATGCAGACAGGATCCCTACAGCTGGCTGTCCAGCTAGAGCAGGTGAAATCAGTGAGCTCCGGGTTCGAGTGAGAGACCCTGCTTCAACATTTAAGGTACAGGCTGGCCTCTACCCACACAAGCACACATGTGAACCACACATGTGCAGAGGCACCTGCACATAGACATGCAGACACATACCATACATATCTACACCTGCAAAAAATAAAAATAGATAAATAAAAGGGAAACCAGACATACAATGCTCCCATGACCATAATGGAATTACGGAAAATCCACAAACACCTGGGTAATAAACAAAACTGTTTATATCACACAAGGCAGGTGCAAGAAATAGTGAAAATAAGACGATTTTGCTACAATAAAAATATAAACACAAACTCATCTAATCTCTGGAATGCAGAAGAACTTTAGAGACACTGAATGATTTATTGTTACAAATGTTTGTATTTGTCATTTTAACAGAAACATCTCAGATCAATTATCTGGCCTTCCGCCCTGAATAACCAGTAAACGAAAAACAAACTTCTCAAAGAGCAGACAGGAGAAGATAACAAAAATTATAAGAAACAAAAAAAAAGGCAGCAAATAAGGCCCAAAGTTGATTTTAAAAAAAGATTTAATCCATCCAAGTAAACTAGAGAGAAGAAAAAAATTATCAGTATCTAGAACAAATGAAATGTCATCACCACAGATTCTACAGATGTTAAAATGGAAATAAGGGAAATTATAAATGGTTTAGGCCCACTATTAGCGTGAGTGGAAAAATCCCTTCCCACAAGAAGAAACAGATAAATCAAAAAGGGTCAAGGAACTCACCTTATAATGTGTTTGATCTGCGGCAAAATGTTGCTTTCTAAGGTGGTGTTCAGAGCGCTGCTTAGGTACCGGTTGAACTCCTCAAAGAACATTTCATTCCCTTCTTCGTATTTGCCGTAGTTCTTGGAGAACTCTTTCTGGATGCAATGATTGGTCAGATGGCAGGTCTTATCTTGGAAATTGTTGACGTGATAAGGCTCCGAAGCCGTGCGCAGCACACCCTCTCTATAGAGGTAGATGTTATACTGATGGTCAACCAGGACCCAGCTTCTGCAAGCCAACAAGCACATGGCTTTATTTAGACCCGAAGTTTTTATACATAATCTCACACCTTGATTTGTTTGTCTGTCTGTTTTGGAACAGGGTCCTGCTGTGAGGCCCTGACTGGCCCGGAAATCTCCTTTTAAGAGATCTGCCTGCCTTTTGCTTCCTGTGCTGGGATTAAATGTGTGTGCAACCACCTGGCGCACACCTGGAATCTTTGCAGGGATGGGATAGTGAAGGAGGTTCTAAAGTCAGAGAAAGCAAATCGTGAGTTAGACAAAACAATGAGCGGATTAGCGCCATAATGAGGCAAATCAAGTTTTCACCATACATAATGAGAGACTTGCGTTCCTTTCAGAAATAGACAGTTTTGAAGGCTATGGGTGTGTTCGAGGTTAACCAATACACAAACATATGTGTATGTGGATGACATGTTTGCCTTTCTGCATCTTGACTGGTACTATAATCTTAGTAACATTTTCTAGAGGGAAGAACTCAAAGGAAAGTAGCAACAACGTTGAGAGGACCAGCTCTACTCAGCTTGGTAACATGCTGGATACAGCCAAACACTCATCACATCATCCTCTCACCGGATCCTAACACATTCTGAAACCAAGGCTGTGGACAGCAAACATTACCGAATGTCAAACTTGCGGTGACCGGGCTCAAGGAGCAGAGGGCGCTCGAGGTATTTCTGGATCACATGTACTTGACCTTGGTTGTCTATGAAATCCAGAAGCTCCGTGGCCTCTGAGGAGATGAGGATGCCTTCACCTGGGAAAACAGCGAAAACGACAGCATGGGGACTAGCCCTGCCCGGTCCGAGAGAGACAGCTGCTGCCCGATAGAAAGCCAAGAAGGCGAGGACACTAAGGTATAAAGGTGAGGGCACAGACGACACAGCCGAGAAGACTGAAGGCACAGAAGCTGCCCATCAGCTATAACGGCCTGTAACAGCTGACTTGAGATCCAGACACTAGAAAATCCAGCTCTGTAAAGCATACTCTCCGATGGTTTTTAGTATAGTCAACAGTTCAACCGTCATTAGAATCTAATTTTGGAACATTTTCGTCATCTTCCCTTAAAACTCTGTAGCCATCACTCCTTCTTCACCCCAGCCCCTCACAACTACAGCCCACCGGACCTGCGTTCCCGCACAATTCATACGAACGGCATTGCACAGTACATGGCCGTGTGTGTACTCACACCATACCAAGTTTTCAAAAGAAGTTTCACAGAGAAAGATCTATTCTGATGAGGTTTAATTTCTCATTTCTACTGGTGTCATGCTTAAAGATTCTTTGCCACTCTCACCCAATTTCGGTTTTCCCTTTTTCCTGAACCATGAATTAGGCTTGGCTTGATGTATGTGTTGAATGGCTGGGAATATGCATCGTGTATAGCATCACATTTGTTGAAAGGTGTAACCTTCTTCTTTTTTCATGTACATGAGTATACCTAAAGCATGTATGTGCTAATGTTTTCGTATGTGGGGGTGCACATGTGCATGCCAGTACACACGCTATGTGCACATGTGCAGGGTCCCCAGGTTGATGCCGGATGTTTTTCTTAAACCGCTCTTTTCGACCTGAAATATTTAGACAGGGTGTCTTGCTGAAACCAGAGCTTGCCGTTTTGGCTAGTCTGGCTGGTCAGCTTGCTCCAGGGAGCCCTGGCTACTACCTCCCAGACACCAAGATTACAAGAGAGCTGCCGTGCCCACCTGGCTTTTACACGGATTCTGGGGATCTGCACTCGGTCTTCACACTTGCACACCAGGTCCTTTACCCACACAAGTTATCCCCAGCCCTACCTTTCTTTTACAGACAGTTATTGCCAATCTGATGAACTCTTAGAATCACCCGGCAGCTGTGCCCCTGGGCACCCTGTGCAGGGGGATTATCTTGAGTACATTATCTGAAGTGGGCAGATCCATCTTACTTGTGGGTGGGACCGTTCCCCGGGCAGGGGATTCTGGGCTGTAGATGGAAACAGGAACTGAGCAGCACACACACTGCTCTGTCTTCAGACTGCAGAGGCAATGTGACCAGCTGCTTCACGCTCCTGCTGTCCTTACTTCCTGTACACAGTGGACGGTACCTTGGATTGTGAGCTAACATGAGCCCTCCCTCCCTCTCCCTCCCTCCCCTTCCCTCCTCCCTTCAGGTGCACTGTCAGGGTATTTTATCACAGCAATAGGGAAAGAATGGAAGACAGATGCTTTTGTGTTTATCAAAAAAATCAGGTGGACATAAATGTTTGGATCTACTTTTGAGTTCTTAGTCCTGCTTCGTGGATTCATGTTTCTGTCCCTCCACCACACTGCAGTGTCCTGGGCACTACAGTGATACAGTACGCCTTAATATTACCTGAGTGAGTGATTCTACTTTATCTTTTTCAAGATCATTATGGTGGCACATGCCTTTAATCCCAGCACACAGGAGGCAGAGACAGGCGGATCTCTATGAATTCAAGGCCAGCCTGACTACAGAGCAAACTCCAGGACAGGCTCCACAAAGAAAGCAAAGCTACAGAGAAACCCTGTCTCGAAAAACAAACAAAAAAAAATCACTAAACCTACTATATGAACCATAATCTAGAATACCATAGATGCCTAATCTTCCAAGTCCCCTGTTTACCACCAGAACCAAAAGATAGCAGAGGTACAAGAGAGAAGTAGGAGCCAGTGAGGCCTGCTAGTGGCAAGAATTCACTGCACACATCTTCAGGAGATTCCCAGGGATGCTTTCCTGTCCTATGATTGGTGAGAAGTTGGGATCGAATAGACCAGGGACAGATTAGTAATACAGGCTAGCGGGTTTTCCAAACCATGGAAAAATAAATTCAAGATACAATGGTTTTAAAAAGAGTGCATGGCAGTAGTTATGAGGGAGACCGTGTGCTTCTTACATTAGGAGCCTTCTTTATTTTAAGCCTGAAGTTGATATTATGAGCCTTATCCCTTTCTAAGCATCCATTCCACACATGTACTGATTGCCTGTGTAGAGGGTACAGAAGCACACAAGACATGAAGCCTGCCTTTACATGGGCTTAGAATGTATCAAGGAAATGGCCCAATGTGTGACACACCCCGGGAAGACACTAACTCACACAGGCTAAAGACACAGAAAGCAACGGGTTTAGACGCCACTGTAGACCAGAAGAGCCTTCTCTGACGAGGCAGTGTCTGAGCTGATGGAGACACATTCCAGGTACAGAGGCAAATTTATCTGTGTATTTGAGAGATCCAGAGATCTTTGTGTCTGCAGCACAGTGTGCATGGCCAAGAATAGGGGATGACCTCAGAGACATCAGGGAGTGTCCAAGCGGGTGGGCTCCCACCAGGACTCTGGAGCCATCCTAAATGCATTAGGAAGTAACATGATCAGATTTGCGTTTTGAAATCATCACAGTCTGGCCAGATGAGAGCCGGCTGAAGGTCACATTGCAGCAGCTGGCCTGAAAGAATGGTAGCTTTGACTTAGAGGGGGAATGGCAGAAATGTAAGAACCTAATCCCGAACGTATTCTGAAGGGAGCCCTGGCAAGGTATTAATGCACTTGGTAGAGATCGGAAAGAAAAAGGAGGAGCTGAGATTTGGGGCTTCAGAGACTGTGTGAACAGTGGGGTCACACATTAAACAGGCAATGTGAAGGAGCAGGCTGCAGTGGGCAAGCTGGGAAGGATCTGAAAAGTTTCGTGTCAGACGATTTGAGCTTGAAATGCCTTTTAGAGACAGAGAGGGTACCACTGAGTCCAGAGCTTAAAGCGAAGACTCAGGCGATAAACGTTCAGGAGGCTCCAGAAATCTCTAAAGGGCTGTGACCGAAGTTCAGTAGGCAGAGTATCTGCATAGCATACATAAAGCCCCGGTCAGGCTCCATCCCAATAAAACCAAGCGTGGAAGTGCATGCCTGTAATCCTAGCACTCAGATAGACAAGAACAGCAAGATCAGGAGTTTCAGGTCATTCTCAGCCATTTAAGAGAGTATGAAGCCAGTCTAAGGTCACATGAGACCCTCTTTAAAAAAAAAATTATTTTCTAGAAATAAAAACTGGGCACGGTCTCTGATCATGATGACTGAGTGAGGCCACTCACCTAATACATCAGTTAGGGACTGTGAAACGGCCCGGTGGGTAAAGGCGTTTGCTTTGAACCCTAACAATCTAAATTCAGTCCCTGGGACCCATATGGCGGAAGGAGAGAACCAACTCCCGAAGGATGTGCTGACCTCCACACGCACAGCTTGGCATCCGTGCCACTCTCAAAACAAAGGAATAAATACATCCTTAAAAACCCAGTCTGCCCCTGAAGCATGCTGAAGAGCATCCCACAAGTGACAGAGGGTGGCAACAGTCACTTACCCTTGGCACCAGCTGATGACTTTGCAATCCAAACATTGCCTTCTCCATCCTCTTTCTTTCTGTTATAAGAAGCCAGGAAGAATTCTCTCTCATCCGTCCTGGAGTTACTGACCGGAAGCTGGATGCCATTCTGCGCGGGAGCGACTGGTGTCTTGAGGTTAGTTGGATAAATCACATAGGACTCGGGGAACCATGTGCAGGACTCAGACAGCTCGGGACTGGTCTTGACTAGCCTGGCAGATGACAGAGGGTCAGTCTCTGTTCCCAGGGGGGTGTCACCTTGTTCAGAAAGGCTGTTGCTCCTCCCCACCCCACCCCCCACAAGCTTTTCCAGAAGCCAATACCCAGTCTGGTTTTCTCTCTATTCGTTCTTAGGCTGGAAGGTCAGCTCTCCAATGCATCACACTGTCTGGCATGGCTCCAAAGCCACATCCTGGTTAATTCAAAGGCTCATGGTAGGCTGGGAGTATAGGACACTAGGTTTAATCCTCAGCACCAAATACACCAGACTTGGTGGTGCATGCCTATAACCCTAGCATTTGAGGAGTACAAGAAGGAAGGTCGGAAGTTCAAAGCTTAGAGACCAGCATGAACTATGAGAGACCCTCGCTTGAGACAACAAAAGCAAAACAACAACAAATCCCCACAAGGCTCAGAATTGAACTCATTTTAAATGTATCTCTATAAAAACTCAATGCAACCCTAAACGGAAAGGTGTTTCTACTAATATGTTATACTAGCTAGATCCAAATAAAAATGGGAGCAGCCCTTTAATGCCGGCACTGGGAGGCAGAGGCAGATGGATCTCTAGAGTACAAAACCAACCTTGTCTACACTGAGAGAGAGAGAGAGAGAGAGAGAGAGAGAGAGAGAGAGAGAGAGAAATATTTGAATAACTAGCAAAAATACTATCTTGGAGCAGCTGAAGAAAAATCTAGGGGAGAAAAACTATTAAATCTAAGTAATTACTCAGTCTAAATTGTCACTATGTTTAAGTTCTTTATTTCTTGCTTTTAGCTCAGGCTGTTATCCCAGCAGAATAAAGAAGGACTCCTCCCGATGGGACACAGGACAGGAGAGGATCCAAGGAAAAGCCTTCTGCTCCCAGAATGAGATAACATCACAGGAAACAGAGTCAGGCCCTGGGCAAGGCACATAAACGCGAGGGCTTCCTACTGCACCAGCTCTCCTGCCACTCCAGAGCTGGGGCTTCGAGAACCTGTTCCAAACAAAGAACCGAGTCACAGAGATGTGAAGTTCCCACATTACACGTGTGCAAGGCCCATCCAGGATGCAAACTCCAAACTCCCAAGTCCTAACATTAACCCCAACCCCAGGTCTGAATCATCGGGGTCTAACCAGGACAAGGCCAGGCCTCCTGGGGCTGCATGCTCTCTTCTGCCTAGAACAGAACTGCTTATGTGAGTTCTATATCAAGATTCCTCTACAAAGTCCAGTCTGAGCCAAGAGAAAAAAACAACATTTTAAATTAAGATTTAAAAAAAAAAATGGCTGGGTAAAGCGCTTGCAGCGCAGGCATGCGAGGCCCTGAACGTACATGAGCACAGAAGGCTGCATGCTGTGAAGTGTGCTGGGGCTCACTGGCCTGCCAGCTTAGCCAGTCTCAAAACACTTTTGGTTTGTAGAGACAGGGTTTCTCTGTGTACCCCTGGCTGTCCTGGAACTCATTCTGTAGGTCAGGCTGGTCTTGAATACATAGAAATCCACCTGCCTCTGCCTTGCAAGTACTGGGATTAAAAGCCTGAGCCTCCACGCCTGGATAGTACTTAATAATGACACCTGAGGCCTGAGCTTACTTTCTGGCCTCCGTACACATGGTATTAGCACATTCCAAAATGCACACACGCACGCGCGCACACACACACAGAGAGAGAGAGAGAGAGAGAGAGAGACAGACAGACAGACAGACAGACAGATTTTAAATAAAGCCATTTTAACAACAAACAGGTTTTGAAAGTTTCTTCAATCACAAAAAGACTAAGAAACATACACCACCAAGCTTCTAGCTCCCTGAATGTTCTTTAGCTCGGCACCCCGTCCTGTATGGTCATCAGGGTCCCGGGCAACCAGTGAGCATTTGAATGGTGGCCAGTAAGACTCAGGAAGTAAACTATGAACTATATCTAATTTTAATCACAAAACTAATGCACTGTGCTAATGCTTTTCCAGTAAGTACACCTTTATTGATTTAGCAGGCTAGCATTTCCTTTAGTATTGCCCTGCAACACTCAGGTCACACACAGGTGTTGCTCACACGTGGGTGGCGTTCCTAGGAGCACATACAGAAGCATCACTGCTCTATCCAGGAACAAGAGACTAATTCAGCTCAAGCAATGCTTTGTCCCTGGGCAAGGAGGAAATGGTATGCATTTACTATACAGTGAGGAGGGCTAGTTATGTACACCAGGAGGGGCATCTAAGGTGGAATGTGGTCATTTTTCTAGTTTAAAAAATAAATATTGGTGCTGGAGAGATGGTTCAGTGGTGAAGGGTATTTGCCATTCTCATAGAGGACCTAGGTTTGGCTCTCAGCACCCACATGGTGGTTGACAACCATTTGGAACTCCAGTTCCAGGGGATCTGACAGTTTTAGACCTCTTTAGCACCATGTGCATGTGGTACACACACACATATGCAGGTCAAACACTCATTCACATAAAATGGTAAGTAAATATTGGTAATTTTAAAATTAAAAAAGGTATATGAATAAGAAATTGAAAGAAGGACACAAAAGCTAAGGAAATGCCCAGGAGAGTAAAGAGAAAACTGAAAGTGCAAGCGGAGCACCTGGAAAAGGACACTCCACAGCTTCACCATCCGTGCCAACTGCTCCACTCACGGCCCAGGAAAATGAAAAAGCAGTCCGTTTGGTAAAGGCAACATTTTCAGCAAAGAATATGTGATGAACAATTTTTCCTCCACAGTCAAAAAAGAATCAATACTTTCAGTGGTTGAGATCATAAATACCTAACCTAAACATTATTTTTTTAAAAAAATATTTTACTCTGTGTGTGTGCGTGTGTGTGTGTATGTGTGTATACATGTGACTGTATGTGCCAGGGGAGAGCATAGGATCCCCTGAACCTGAAGGGTAGACATGACTGTGAGCTGCCCTCTGGGTGCTGGCAACCAAACTTACATCCCCTGAAAGGGCAGCGTGTGCTCTTAATCACTGAACTATCTCACCAATCCCTGAACAAAAACATTAAACATTTCTTTCCCCAGGAAAGTCTTCTATAACTGAACTACATATTCCCTGGCCTGCCAACAACTTCTTAACAGGATCTAAACTTATAACTTCAGCTGGCCCTAAAATAGCTCCCATTCTTTCACAGAAAGAAAACCACTGCACATGGACAGATGATGAAATAAATTATTTTCAGGAAAAAAGTTTGAAAAGATATTGTGCTGGCCAGTTTTAAGTCAACTTGACACAAGCCAGAATCACCTAAGAGGAGAGTGCCTCAACTGAGAAAATGCACCCGTGGTAAGATCTGCTGTAGAGCATCTTCTTAGTGATTGATGGGGGCAGGCCCAGTCAATTGTGGGTGGGGCCACCCTTGGGCTGGTAGTTCTGAGTTCTGTAAAAAAGCAGGCTGAGCAAATCATGAGGAGCAAGCCAGTAAGCAGCACCCCTCCATGGTCTCTGCATTAGCTCTAGCCTTCATGTCCCTGCCTTGTCTGAGTTCCTATCCTGACTTCTTCCATGATAGACTACAATGCAGGCATGTACACCAAATAAACCCTTTCCCCCAAGCTGCCTTATGTCATGGTGCTTCATCACAGCAACAGTAACCCTAACTAAGACAGATTTTTCTCGTTTATAGTTAATCCCCAAGTAGCCGTTACAAACTCTAACATCAAAAATTAATTGAAAATTTAAAAAATATTAAAGCTTTTCTTAACCTTATGTAAATTATGATATGAGCAGATGTTGCCCAATTAATGCTTTGGGTATGCTTATATGAAAAAAAAATTATCAAAGTTTAGTCTAAATAATGTTTGTTGAACTCATGATACAGGCATCTTTTAATATTTTGCATCTGTCAAAGAATTTCATCTACATGTAAAAAATGAGTTTCTGTCATAACAGACACAACTTCCGAGGCCGGGTTAGAGTGTGGCTTTACTGGGACGGTGACAGAGATGACAGAGGTCTCCTTTCCCCTCATGCCACTGTATGGTGCAAACTGGAAACATTTGCTTCCCTGCACCTGCTGATACAAACCGGACACATTTGTTTCCTCAGGCTCACTCTGGATAAAGTATCATGGCTACAGCTGCCCAGCTGGCTCAGTAGAGGATTGCAAACATTGTGTCACATGCACCACCAGTTCAGGAAAAAAAAAAAAGAGAAGACAGCGATTTTTTTTTTTTTTTTTTGGTGTTTCGAGACAGGGTTTCTCTGTAGCTTTGGTGCCTGTCCTGGAGCTAGCTCTTGTAGACCAGGCTGGCCTCGAACTCACAGAGATC